TCGAGTGTGGAGAAAAACCCTCTAGCCAGTATGTGAGCAGGAGGGTCAAAGGCAAAGGGAAAGTTAATAACGCCGGCTAATGGTGCTAACCATTCAGCATGCATCTTGCCAAAAGTTTTTCTGGAAGTGTGAGTCTTTGATTGTGTGTTTCCTGAAAGCAAGACCAATCATTTCCGTTTATTCACTGGCTAAACCCCTACTTGATTGGGGACAAGGACAGAAACCATCCATTACGATCTGATATATTATCCAAACAATTTAGTGTATTCATGAGGTAACCGAAACGTGGGGGCTGCGAAATTACCCGTAATCAATTGCCACAGCGAGCGTGCGTCCCCCCGGGCGCCGGACCACTACAGCTCGCCCTCAGTGGCAGGCGGGAGCCTCAGCGTTTCGGAGTTGCGCCGCTCGCTACCTGCTCTCCAGGCGGGGGACACTGGACGCGCTCAGAGGACGCGGGTGACGAGGCGGCCTCGCCGCGGCTCCTGCTCCGCCGGGATCTCAGACCGACCCGCCGCCTCTCCGCGAGCGCGCCGCCACCGACCCGCCCGCCGCCGCCGCAGCCACCCCGCCGGGACATTCATTCCTGCCTTTTGCCGCTCTCCGGGCCGGGCGCAGGGGCCGTATTGTTGGGGTTTTGTCCCCCCCACTCTGCCTCTTCTTTTTCTTTCTTTCTTTCTTTTTTTTGTTTTGTTGCTTTTGCCTCTCCTATGTTCGGGAAACCAGACAAAATGGACGTTCGGTGCCACTCGGACGCAGAGGCTGCCCGGGTCTCCAAGAACGCGCACAAGGAGAGCCGGGAGGCAAGGGCGCGGAGGGGAACCTCCCCGCCGCCTTCCTCAAGGAGCCGCAGAGCGCCTTTCTCGGCGTCGGGCGCGGCGGAAGATTGCAACAAAAGTAAATCCAATTCCTCAGCGGACCCGGACTATTGCCGCCGGATCCTGGTGCGAGGTAGGGATGGGCAGGGCTGCGGGGCGCGTTCTTGGGGGGCGACTCCGGTGCCCGAGCTGCGCGCCGAGACCCACCCCGGCGGGCGGAGACGGGGTGCGGGCTGGGACTTCGGGGAAAGTTGCTGGCCTTCCTCTCCCGGGGTCCGGCTGGCCCGATGGGCACTCGCCCCTGGGGCGCGCACTCTCCGGGGACCGCTATCCTCCGAGCCCCGAGAGCCCAGCGCTGGGCTGCGGGGGAAGCTTAGGGTCTGCACGGGCGGGCCCAGGCTCCAGGCTGCGGCCTCCGACCCGGGAAAGGAGCAGGAAACTCTGGAGGACTTGTGCGCGCCCTGTGGCCCGGAGGACCTGCCGGGAGCCCGGACTCCCGCGCCCTGGCGAGATGAGCGCACCCCAGGGGAGCGCGGGCGCGGAAGAAGGACCACCGACCGCGGGCTACGGCCCAGCCAGTTGGCGCGCTGGGCCCAGGGCCCCGGCGCTGCGATCGGGGCTGGCCGACGCCGCCTGGAACAGCGGCCGGGCTGCATGGCCGGGCCGCGGAGGCCACCTCGGTGCTCAGCGTGGCCCGGCTCTGCCGCGCGGTGTGCGCTCAGCTGGGGCGGCCACGGTGGCGAGGCCGTCCGGGCCCGGCGCCGCCCCCGCCAGCACCGCGCCAGGCCCCGCCGGCCGGACTCGGTCCCACCTCCTTCCGCCTCCCGGGCTCCGGAGGGAAAGAGACCCAGGGGTGGGGGTGGGGACCGCCGGGGCGCCGTCCGGTCGACACGCTCCAGAGCTGGGGCCTGGCCGACCCGGGCAGGATAGTGTGGGGGCCCCTTAGGCTACCGGGGACCCAGACCTCGAAGTCAAGGCCCCCAAGCCGGGAGGACCCAGCGCGGGTTTGGAATTGCTTCCCCCTCCTCTGTGTCCGGAGGGTGGTACAAAAGGCAAAGCCTGCTTCTCCCTCCCGCGAGCGTGTGGCCGTTGCCCCTGGCTCCCCAATACACAGTCTTTGCTCCCCCCACCCCCTCCACCTCTGAACTTCGGGCCAGAGAGGCGCAGGGCGAGCAGAGGGCTCTGGCGGCTGATCCTTTCCCTTCCCCAGATGCCAAGGGATCCATCCGAGAGATCATCCTGCCCAAGGGCCTGGACCTGGACCGGCCCAAGAGGACGCGCACGTCCTTCACGGCGGAGCAGCTCTACCGGCTGGAGATGGAGTTCCAGCGCTGCCAGTACGTGGTGGGCCGCGAGAGGACCGAGCTCGCCCGGCAGCTCAACCTCTCCGAGACCCAGGTAGTACCAGGGCCCGGCCGCTCCAGCTCTGCACCGGCCTCCTTCCCCACCGCCCCCAGCCAGCGCTTCCGCACCAACTCCGCGGGCTCTGGACAGAGCCTCTGGGGGAGGTGGAGGAGATAGAGAGGGTGGGGAAGAAAGGTCTGAGGCTTCCTTCCCTTCCATAAGCTACCCACACCCCGCCCCATACCCTCAAGTATTCCAGGGCCCATGCTCTGCTCACTTGGCCTAGCTCAGGACACCCCAATATGTCCTTCCGGAATTCTTTCTGGACCCCAGTCTTGAGAATCCCTTGCTTGTCTCTGCTCTAAAGGAACGGATGTTCACCCTGCTTTGGCTGCCTCGTTTTGGCCAGATTTCCAGGCACCACCCCCCTTTGGGGATGGGAGCCTTACACAACACCCGGCCCATCCTGCAGTGGGCCAAGAGCTTAGGGCCAAAGCCCCCTGCTCCAGCACAGGTGACAGCTAGGATTAGAAAAGTGCACATTCCTGATATCTGCCTATGCAGACCCGGCTGCCCTGACCCGCAAGGCTTCCCCTGGCCCGTAGCTACCCAACCCCATTCTCAGCCTTAAGCACCCACTCAGACACCTAGGAGGCCCCTGTCTTCTGTGCCAAGGAGGCGTGGGATGGGAGACAGATCTAGGGGCCTGGGAGCCAGCACTGCCAACCGTGCAGTAGGTAGGTCTTTAGCTTTCCTGAAATCCATATGATGCCACGATGGAGCTGGCTATTTGGACTCAGCCCAGAGGTCTTTGGGGCCTGGCCAGGGCATGGCACCAGCTTGGCTTAGGTCAGGCTGAGGCTCAGTCCCTTGCCCTATGCCCAGCCCTGAAGCAGGTGGGGAACCTTCTAGGTCCGAAATCTGGACAGAAAGCTGAGAACCAAGGACAGATGTCGGATGCTCTTTCTGAGCCTGAGTTGGCACGGTCGCTTTTCCCTAGTGTCGCTGCTACCACCCCTCTTAGTACAGTTTATAAAATCCAGACAGGGATCACCTTGCCCTGTAGCTGCCAAACTCCATGGTGGGCCACCAGCTAGGGGGGGGCCAAGGGAGAAGAGAAAGTGAGAGGGGAGGGTGGTGGAGAGATATAGTCCAACACAGCCTCCAGACTTTCCTCCCTCCCGTGGTTCCAAAGTTC